TCCTGTTATTGACTTAACAAATTGACACTCTTGTTTATGGTGTCAGTAATCTCCCTAGGCTCTAGAATGACATACTTTCAATTTAGTTTATAATCACAAGCTTAGTCCTCCACTAACTAAAGAATTCAACATGTAGTAAGTAGAGAAACCACTGTTCCTCAGGAGTATAGACCAGGCCTATAAACAATAATCAAATCTCATTTCTAATTCTTTTGCATGTATAGGTAGGAGTGGAATTGCTGGGTTTATGGTAATTCTCTTTAACTTCATAGAGAAACACTAATTTGTTTTCCACAGCAACTGCACCACTTTAATTTCTCCACATCCTTACCAACACTTTTGGTTTAAATTATAGCCATTGTAGGGGTTGCAAAATGATATCTCATTGTGTCTTTGAATTGCATTTCTCTAATAACCAGTGATGTCAAGCATCTTTTCATTTGCTTATGGAAAATTTGTATATCTTGTTTATAGAATTGCCTTGCCCATTTTTAGATTGGGTTGTATTTTTACTGTTGAGTTATGAGTTCTTTGCATATTGTGAATAATAGAGCTTTATCAGATATGTGATTTTCAAATATTTTTGCCAGTATGTAGATTTTCTTTTTAACTTACTTGATAATCTTATTTTTTTAAAAAAGATTTAATTATTTTATTTGAAAGAGTTATAGAGAGAAAGAGAGAGAGGTCTTCCATCCATTGGTTCACTCCCAAGTAGCCACACTGGCCAGAACTGAGCCAGGCCAAAGCCAGGAGCCAAACACTAGGGTCCCTCCATCCACATGGGAAACCTGGAAAAAGTTCCTGGCTTCGGTCTGGCTCAGCCCTGGGCATTGTGGCCACAAGGAGAGTAAACCAGTGGATGGAAGATTCTCTGTCTCTATCACCCTCTCCTGCCCTGCTTCTGCCTCTCTGTAACTCTGCCTTTTAAACAAACAAATAAATATTTTTAAAAAGTATTTAATTTTCAATAAGTTCAATTTTTTCTTTTAATGCTTTTGCTTTTGGTGTCATATCTAAGAATTCATCACCAAATACAAAGTCATAAAAATTGCCCCCTAAGTTTTCTTCTAAGATTTTTGTAGTTTTAGTTCTTACATTTATAACTTTGATCTATTTTGGTATAATTTTTGTATCTAGTGTGAGGCATGTGTCCAAGTTCATTCTTTTTCCTGTGGATATACAGTTTTCCTTGAACATTTGTAAAAAAAATACAACTCTTTCCCCATTTTATGGTTTTAGCCGCCTTGTCAAAAATCAGTTAACCACAGGTGTGTAGGCTTATTTCTAGATTTTTAATTTCACTGTTACCTTTGGTCTCTAGAGTAAGACTATTACTAGTCCATTTAATAAATGAGGAAATAGGCAAAGAGGTATCAAGTGACTTTCCCAGAGCTATATAGAAGAACTAGGACTGGAGCCCAAATTTGTCAGATGCCCAACCCTTTGCTTTTTCTACCCATCTCAGAGCCCCTAACTAGGGATAGCCCTTTCTGGTTCCACAACTCTTTTACATGACATTAAGTCCTTTGTTTAGTAGCTTTAATTAAAAACAATTAAAAGTGAATTGTTTCCAACTGTTAGGACCTCCTTTAACAGTAAGGGAAAAGAAGGGAAGTACTGAGCACTATCAAATGCAAAACCTGGGTACTCTATCAAGGAGAAGTGGGGAGATCATAAGATGAAAACAAAGATCAAGGAAGAAGAAGTTTGATTCATTAGATGGGATGACACTAACAGGTGTCTACTATGGGGGCACAAAGGAACCATTACTTAGATCACTTAGAAGAGAACATAATGTAGAAATTTCTGGAACATCAACTAAGTTGAACATAAATATAATCCTTGGCCTAGGTCCAAATGTGGTTGGCAACTTGAGGTGTGCTTCCTCTCTGAGCAGAGTGCCCTGGGATCTGTAGAGAGACCCAGTTGTGTTGTCTAGCTGATGGAAGCCAATTCTAGGGAGTGAGAGCAGTGGCCAAGGGCTGTCAGTTGGCATCCTTTAATAGAATCGGCTAGGAGCCACCATTTCCAAAGTTGTGGGATCATGAAAGCAAAGAAGGATGTCTTCATTACATAACTAGAGGTGTTTTTTTTTTTTTTTTGACAGGCAGAGTGGACAGTGAGAGAGAGAGACAGAGAGAAAGGTCTTCCTTTGCCGTTGGTTCACCCTCCAATGGCTGCCATGGCCGGCGTGCTGCGGCCAGCGCACCGGGGTTTCCGAAGGCAGGAGCCGGGGGTTTCTCCCGGGTCTCCCCAAAGGGTGGGGGGCCCAAGCCTTGGGGCAATCCTCCACTGGCACTCCCTGGCCACAGCAAAGAGCGGGCCGGGAAAAGGGGCAACCGGGGAC